TATTAGTCTAGATTTCTCACCTAAAAAATATTCGTTCTAATTATTTTAATCAATATTTATTTTCTAAGTTCAATATTTATTGCTAACAATTCTTATCGACTAACATCAAATATGGTCACAAAATTTATTAGTCTAGATTTCTCACTTAAAAAATATTCGTTCTGATTATTTTAATCAATATTTATTTTCTAAGTTCAATATTTATTACTAACAATTCTTATCGACTAACATCAAATATGGTCACAAAATTTATCAATTCCGAGTATACTCCAATCCATTTGTTTTAATGAGAAAGAGCGCGATGTATGCTTGTTTATCCTGAGAACCGATTCATGGTATGGCTTAAAATCAATGTCACTCATTAGGGGTGTATTTTTGGCGGAAGTGGCTTAAAAAGCGGAAGACGGAAGCCGAAGAGCAAAAGAAGACGGAAATTGACGGAAGCGGAAGGAAATCCAGTTTTTATATACCTATAAGTTTCTATTTTTCACTCCCTTAAACTTTTGAAGTACTTTAGTCATTTCAAAAAATTTTGTAATCGTTTTTTAAATTTATACCTAGGTAATTACCGTACATAATGAAATAATTACACTTAGCAATTTTGTTTCAATCTTCACTAGATGGGTAATTATTCTAATAGGAAGATGTTATATTTGGGGTGTATCTCACTCCAATTGAAGCGAAATTGATTTATTTTTTATATTGAGCCTCAAAATGTTCCAAGAATTTAATTTGATTATAATTTTTTTATATAGTATTTTTAGAATTTGTGTAAGGAAACTAGAGGGTAATTATATTAGAAGTAATTATTTAGAATTTATAGTAATTTATTTTTTAACGCAAACATTTAAAATTTTTGTATTGTTTATCTATTCTTAAAAATATGTATTATGTCTAGTTTTTTAGTTCTCTCTAGCTTTTGGATTTTGTGTTGTCTATTTGTTTTTTTAATTCTTTACTAAAAATAAAATATGGTTGGTATTTTTAGAAAATAAAATTATTATTCATTCGACTCTTTTAAGTTATAATAAAAGGTCAAATTTTACCAATAAATAAATTAAATGAAAAGAAAACGTATTTACATACATAAGAACTAAAATTTAAAAAATAAGGTCAGTACATAAAACAATGATTGATGAGAATAATACATACATATTTCTGGAAAATGAAATTAATTTAAAAGATTGTCAATAAAAATAAGTGAAATTTTTAAATTCATCATACTATTCAACTAAATAAAAACATGTGTAAATTGAATTGTATTCCAAGAATAGTTTAATAATAAAATTAGGGTTGTTCACGATCGGTGTTAAAAACCAAAAATTAGGATATTTTTGGTACTTTTCCGTTATGACGTAACACCCGAAATTAATGTTCAAAATGATATATAGGGTAGAAAAAGGTGCTGAGTCGAACGGTACAATCTTTTTTCACGGAGATGCCTGTGGACCAAGATATAGGGCTCGAAATGGTCAAAAACCATAGGGAGGAGTAAGCTCAATTTTGAGGTGAAAAATTTCATTTTTTGAATGATAGCTCATTCAAAAGAGCTCCTCGAGCTGAGTCGAATGACACCAAAATCAGCTCGAAATCTTGATTTTGAGACAAGATGAACAAGCTCAAAATGGTCAACGTAAACCTATGGGGCGTAGGCGAGGCGCACTCCCCCTATTGTTTTTGACCATTTCGAGCCCTATATCTCGGTCTACAGGCATCTACGTGAAAAAAGAGTGGTACCGTTAGACTCAGCACCTTTTTCTACTCTATATATGACATTTTGAACATTAATTTAGGGGGTTACGTCATAACGGAAAAGTACCTATTTTTTACCAAGAATTAACTGTTGTTACAAAATTTAAAAAAACCGAACTTTTAAAGAAAGGGGTGATTTTATTAAAAATTTACCAAAAATAAAACGATATTTGTCTAAAACTCAAAACCGAAACTTGTTTTTAAAATTTGGATTAATCAACGCCAAATAAAATGAAAATTTTTCTTCGATAAATATTTTCCATTTTTTCGATATACCAATTTCCAGCAATTTTATTAATTTTTATAGAATTTTTTAATTCTTAAAACTATGAAGTCGGTGTCGATAAACTGAAGATGCTGGGTTGCTTCCAGTCGCCTATATAACCTTTTGATTTAACTGGAGGAAAAATAGGTAGATACCGAAGTTTGACTTTATTCCCTTTTCTTTTTCAAAAATTTTTCAAATAATCAAAAATTACTTTCTTCTTCAACAAAAATTTCTAATAAATTTCAAAATTAAAAAAAAATGCCAATAAAATTAAAAATTACGTTAACTCGGAACGGACAAATTTTTCTTGTTATTTAACAGTCCAATGGTCTTTCTGGAGTTAATTTTATATTTTTTAAGAATTTTTTAAATGTTTTGCTTATATGTATTTTATGCTTAATTGACAATTTGCTTCTTGTTAAAATAAATTTTTCCAAAAAAGTCTGGATTCAACAATTAAAAATATAAATAATGCGGGATAGATTTTTAAATTTTAGAATTAAAGAAAATTGAATTTTTGATATTATGAAATATTAAAATAAATATTGTGATTAAATTTTTCAAGTTTAAAAATTTTTTTAAATTCTAAATTATATCTCAAGCAAAAGAAAATAATGACAAAAATCGGATGGACTCGAACTCTCGACCTTTAACTATATAAACATTCAAATTCCGACACACTACCAACTTAACCACAAGTGAATATGATGGATAATTTGTAAATAAACAAATAATGTAAATAAAAATTTAAGTAGTTCAAATATACAGTAGTACACTAATTTAATGGAATCGGAAAAGAAATTTCTTGACTTTAGGCCTAAATAATTATAAATTAAATTTAAATTAATTTTAAAAAATTTTCTACATTTTTAAATAGATAAATATATTTATTATGAAGTCATGTCTAATGAAAAATAATTTTAAAAAATTGAAGTCTACTAGTTTAAGCATTGGTCTAGTCTATTTAATAGTTCAAGCATTTTGTTAAAAAATAATTTATTAAAAAATTTTTTGAATTTTTTAAATAGAAGTGAAAAATTTGAATTATACATATAATTATAGACAAGCCAAATTTTTATTTAATCCCTTGACCTACATATTATTTTCTCTACTCTCAATTTTTTATTTGCCAAAAGATAAGGGGCGTGGAAGACAAAAAAAAAGTAAAGAATAAATTAAAAAATATATATTATATAAATACTAATATAATTTTTATTCCTCGCCCTTCTACTTATTTTTTTAAAATAAACAATTTTTATTCGAATAATTTTAAATTATTCTTTTTTTATTAAATAAATATTGTTACAACAAAAAAGGTACTAAATTAAATTTATAATTAAAAATTAAAGAACCGGGTCCACTATAATTAAAAATTAGGGAAAGCTGCAAACGAAATCCCGAAAGATAGAAATTTTGCGATTGATTCTGTAGGATTTCGTCAGTGCCAGGCATTTAAAATCTATTCTTTCTATCAAATTTTGGACTATATGGAAAAATTTTGGACTTTGTCGCAATCATATTTTTCCTTATTTTCTTGCACACCTTGAAATTGTGGTCGATAACCAGCTGCAAGCCAACTGCAAGTTACGAACTCTTTGGTAGTGGTTGGAATTTTAAATCTGCTCGTACTCATAATTTACGCCTTACACACCTCATTTTTTCTCGTACTCGTACACGCCTGATTTTTGGCCTCGTACCTCGTAACTCATGCTTTCTCGAACTTAGAAAATATGCAAAAAATTTTAAATTTTTGATTTTTTGGAGTACAGGACATTTAGTTTTAAATTTTAAGCATTGTATGCGATAATTTTTGAATCTTGGAAGGCTTATAAGCCATAATCCTACAATTTCATCCATTTTTTGCGCCGCCGGCGAAATTTTTAAGCATTGTGAAGTGCAAGGAGCAGTATTTCCTCAAAGATGGGTCGGGTCACCCGAAACCCGTTATTTTTTCATCCATTTTTCATCTTCCATTAACATTTCATTTTGTTCATCGAACATTTTCCATCGAACTTTCTGATTTTAATCTCCTGATATTCCTCTTAATCTCGAATCACCTTCCTGCACCACAGGCGAAAATTTTGAGAATTTTATTAGGACAAGGAGCCAGATTTCTTTTTTGCCACCGGAGGCGAAAATTTTGGAAATTTTGTAAGGCCAATTAGCCAGATTTCTCTTTTTACCGCCTCATACGAAAATTTTGGAAAAAGCATGAATAAATCAAAAATTTTAATGTCAAGTTAAAATATTAAAAAAATAAATTTATTAATTTAAAAGCGTGTCCGGACAATGCGTCAGTGGATAATGCGTCAGTGGAAGATGCGTCAATGGACAATCGGTCAGTATTGATATAAAGTAATTAAAAGTGATTATGTAAAGAGATAAAAAATGATATAAAAAAACTAAAGATGGGGTATAAACAGATTAGGATATTTAAAAATGGATTTAGGGGTTTAAAGTGTATTGACATTAGAATCAGTCTGTGAGAATATCCGTGATCTGAGTTACACGGATTCAAAACTGTTAAAAAGCATAGGTTTCAGGGGCTCAAAATGGTCAAAATTTTGAGGTAAGGAATTCGGCCGTATCTGAAATTAATGCCGCCATCCTATTTTTCCTTTCCCCAACTAATGGGGGAGAAAATTTTAAAATTTTGTATTACTAGCGGAGGAGGTCTATATCGACTCCACCCCAGAGTATCGACACCCAAAGTATCGACACCCAGAGTATCGACACCCAAAGTATCGAATGACCCAAAGTATCGACACCCAAAGTATCGAATGACCCAAAGTATCGAAATATATAATGATCAACACGAAATATATTAAATATTAAAGTATAATTGTAGAAAATTTAAATCAATAAAAATTAAAATAAAATAAGGTAAAAAATTTATTTAATAAAAATCTACAAAAATCTTTAAAAGCTGAAACAAATAACTAGAAGACAAATATATGACTTGAAATGAATAATAAATAAATTAAAATTGAATATAATGAGAGCATGCCGTTAAATATTCAATGGGATTTATCATCGCTTGCCCCCTCAAAACGTTTAGAAGTCGTTCATTAGCACGTTGGTATTGCTGTTTGCTGAATAAAGGAATTTCTTCTCCCGACAAAATTTTTACTGAAATAGCATCAACTCGGACCTTAAATAAATGCCGTTAAAATTATTTGATTAAAAAAACTAGAAAACCTGTTCATCTAGTAGAGCCCTTGCAAGGTTATATGGATTAGGTTCACCACTCGCGTAACGTTTTCTTCCAACAGTTTTTTCAAGGTTTTTCAATTTTGGAAGACTAGCCTTAAATTAAATATTTATCAGATTTCATAATTAGTAAAAAATAAACCTTAGCTTTATCGCTGATTCCAGCTAATTGCGAATTTACAACTGCCCTTGGTGAAAGTGTAGAGTTAATAGCAGCTTTATTAATGTTGTTTTTAATTCTAGCTAACTCAACTCGAGTCGGTGATGGTCCATGATTATGTTCCTGGCCAACAGTAACAGAGTTGTTGTTATCAGTTGTAGCAGTTCCATGACATTTATCACTTTTCCAATTCTCGCATCTCCAGTAACGTTTATCTTTTCCATCTTTACATTTTGTGTAGATGAATCCTCCGTAAATTAATTTTTCTCCACCCATATTAGATTTTACAAATGACGCCATTTAAATAACTTAGAACAAATAATATAATCTGAAAAAATCTGAAAAAAATTGGTGTTGATCATCTGAAAAAATTTCGTGTTGATCATATGGTTTCGATACTTTGGGTCATTCGATACTTTGGGTGTCGATACTTTGGGTCATTCGATACTTTGGGTGTCGATACTCTGGGTGTCGATACTTTGGGTGTCGATACTCTGGGGTGATCCCGTCTATATCACATATATTGAAGACATCACACACTTTCCAATTAAAAAATATTTTTTTACAAACATTGACTTTTACCTATTGACTTCCCTAACCTAATCTATGTAGTACTGCAGATACGATTTAGTATCATACATTGACAATATATCTGATATCAAAAACTATTACTGATTTTTCACTAAGTAACATATAGATCTAGGCGATTGCCAGACGTATCTATTTCAATCACCAATCGTCGGACTCCTTTGTCGATTATTAACTCTTCTCTCAAACATAACAATATAGACCCGTATAAAATATCTAGTACTACCATCTATAAAGTAACACACTTTGTCAACTATCAAATACTATCAGCTATTTAGTATCAAATATGAACTAACAATTATCAACTATTCAAGAACTTTCAACTATTTAATCTTTATTTTCAATTATCAATTTTCAATTATCAACTATTCAAGAACTTTCTACTATTTAGTATTTATTTTCAATTCTCAATTTTTAATTGCAATTTTCAATTATCAACTATTCAAGAACCTTCAACTATTTAGTCTTTACTTTCGATTTTCAAATCTCAATTTATAATTCCGAACATTCAATTTTAAACTAAATATTAACTTTTCAATTACCAACTTTTCAATTTTGAATTTTAATTATGATTATAGTAATAAGTTTTCAATTTTCTATTTTCAACTTTCAATTCTCAATTTTCAATTATTAACATTCTTTCTCAACTTTAATTTATCAATTATCAATTCTCATTTTTCAATTATAAACTATTCAAAACTTCAACTATTTAGTATCACACTATATCATACTATCTAGTAAGACAAGCTCATTTATCGTAAATATACTATCACACGCATTGAGGTACCTTTTTTCCTAACATCCTCTCAAACCATTGTGGGACCGTTTTTCAAGCACATTGACACTCTTTTCTCTTGCTCAATAAAGACCTTTTTCTTGCCTATTTCTGTAACTCCTTACTTCCCCCATTACCAGAGCCTTTTCACACATAACGGAATACTTTCCTTGACAATTTATGAAACCTTTTTTTCGCCATTACCGGAACTCTTTTAGAACCCATTATGGAAAACCTTTTATCAGAAGGCTACTAAAGTTAAAAAACCTAAAATACAATCATTTAACACATAAAAACAAAAAACAAATACAACTACGAACAAAAAACAAACAAAAAAAACAAATTCTAAAAAATATTCATTACCTTCTTTGCTTCTCTAAATACACACTATTTTTATTTTTGGATATTTTGTCATTTTTAAATAGCAATTAAACACAACGCCAAACACAGCAAAATTCACAGCTGCGGACAGACAGAAATTCTCAAAATTAATATAGGATATACCACTATGTTTATCTTTAAACTTATTGAAACTTCATAAGTTACATAATATTGATTCCAGATAAATTGTCCGCAAGAACTGGCTTGTATTTTCATATAAAGATTAAAATTATAAACAAACAAATTATTTTTAATGCTTCTTTAAATTTAGCCACTCCATCATCGTTTAATTCACGTGTAAGCCTGAATATAAAACAATTGAAAACATCAATTCAGTCCATTTTTTTCTTATTCGTAATTATTTTTTAAAGAATTACACACATAAAAATTCAATTCTAAACAAATAAATAAAAAATAAACCTACGAACTGATGTGTATGCGCATCAGGCTTTACACCAATTATTCCATAACTCATTTTACCTGAATTTTCTCCACTGTGTTCAAATATCAACAAAGCCTTTTAATGGAGAGCAGAAGTGGTAATAAGCAAATAAATTGTTTTTCACTGTCTTGTTTAAAAATTCTTTTTTGTCCTGAATTATTTAATTTATTTTTGTTATTCGACAACTAGAACAAGGATGCAAACTAGCATATCCCTTGTGTCCTAGTGTATCCTATAGAAATTTAAGGTCGACACACAACATCCTTAAAGTGGTAAAAATTGTAGACAAATTGTATTAACATTCTATTTTAAAAACAGTTCCATTAAATTTTTCAACTAATGTTTGGCGCAACTTAGTTGAAAGAAAAAATCCAATCTTTGACGTGTTTGCTAATTGATCACTTCCTTTATCTCCAGATAAAACTGAATATTTTTTCGTTTGAATATTTTAAATTTCTAATAATATTGAAACTTTAAAAAAAATACGTTAATACGTTAAAATTTTTACCATTATCAAGTCATCAAATTCGTTTTGTAATAACTTGTTGAATATTTGTAAAATATAGTTGATTTTTATCTTGACTATGTTTCAAAATTTGACTTTTATCTAAATTGTTATAACTGAATCTGTTGCTGAAACGATGTTATAATTTTATTTATTCATTTCCGTTTTAAGTAGTTGTTGATTTCCTGTAATACCGACTTCTAGAGCAATTGAAACATCTTCCAATGCGATATGTCTCTTAAATTTTTTTGCTGCTAATAAACAAAAAATTTTTTCTGCTAATAAAATTTTTGGTTTCTCTAGATCTTCGCCTGATTTGGCGACTGATTAATTCTGAAAACGGCTTCCTTGGAGTCAAAGCTGTTGTTTGTCTTAGTTTTGTATTAATTCATAATTTAATCTCTTAAATTTATTATTTTCTATATTTAAATTTTCACCTGATGTTTATAGGTTAAGTAATTTTTCTATACTCAGTTAATTAACTTAAAAAATAAATTTAAAAAACCTGTAGCGAAATCATTTGAAACAATTGTTTAGGTTGACTGGTTTAAATTTTCTATTTTTGTTGTTTGAGTTGATGCGTCAATTAAATTATTTATAGTTGTTTGTATTGATGGCTTTCATATTAGGTTGAAATATTGGCTGAAAGATAGTTGTTTAACTTAAACTAAAGAAATGTTCAGAAAACTAAAAATTGTTCAAAAAACGAAAGAAACCTGATCTAGATTTCCCTGCTTCATCATCCATGGCTGTTTTTAGAACATGAAAATTCACATTTTTTGCATAATCTTAAAACCATTCTCTATAAAATCTCTAAAAAAATTTAAAAGTAGATGGCTTTTGATATATTGGATTACAAAGGTCTGTTGTTGTGTCGTTTGTTTCCCCTTTTTCCTTTTTTTCTTCTCCCTAGAAAAAAAGTTTTTAATCGAGTGTGCTTTTTTTGATTCAAGTTTCTAAAACTAATAAATAAATTTTAAATAGTAAAAACCTCAAATTATGCGTGCACAAGTGATTGAATTTAAAATTTCACTGTTTATAAACAAAAAGATTTAACAAATTCTCTTTATGGTCTATGGCACAAAATCTTGAAAACAAATTTTTTTAGTTTTTTAACTTATACCTTCTGAATGTTTACGTTGGGCCCATAATCGCATAAGTAGGTCAGAAAAAAGATACAATCTCACTGATTTGCAGTTATTTGTTTTAATATTAACATTGTTTTGGCGTTATGTATTGATAAATTTGTTCGCGAATAATTGATTTATTTGAAATATTTTTTCTAAGAAAAATGTAGATATTTGTTTACCAGTTACGAGCCAGATTGATTTTCGTTTAACCCGCTATTCCATCGCTGTGTCTGAAATAACTTGGTGAAAAAATGGAGATGGCAAACAAATTCATTAAATGGCGGATATTAAATACCCCCTGGCTCTTCTCTTCCAAAATTTTTTAAAATCTTAACTCGTTGCTAATTTTACTCTAATTTTGCGACATTTTCGAGTAGCTGCGCCCAGGCATAGGGATGGGTCACCCTGATTAAGAACATACTGTTTATTTTAAATAGATTACCGCCTCTAGTTATTTCGATTCACGGACAGGATCAATCGTCACAAATAAAATAATCTAATAAATATTGTTATTTAGATAAAATGTGGAAGTGTTGCGATTGTTGTGAAGCTAGTAGTGATGAGCAACATAGTTGCGCTGAGAAAAATGATGAAGAAGCAAAAATTGGTGGGGAAATGGAAGAACAAGTTACTGAAGATGAGGAAACTGAGGATAGCATCGAAATGGAAGAACAAGTTACTGAAGGTGATGAAACTGAGGATAGCATTGAAGATGAGGAAGTAATTTACGAGGGTCCTGAAAATCAATTATACTTTGATTATCCTATTAATCAGGAGATTCAGGTTTAATTAAATAAAAAAATATAGTTGTTAATTTCTAATACAATAGAATAACAATACTTTTGAACCAGGAGTTTCAGTTTTATTGGCAAATACGGATGATGGTTTGCAATTTATTTTAAATATATAAGTAAAAGTGGGGATTACAAGTCCGTAATAGGTTAAAATCCTTTTCGATTTTCCATAAGTAATTCAGAGCTTCAATTTTATAGAATCTGAGCCCATGATTGGACCAACGGGCAATATTGAAGTGTACAGACTAGTGATGTTCGGGTATCCCGACTCCCGACACCCGACTCGGGAAATTTCCCGAGTTTTTGGCCTCCCGATCCCGACCCCGACTCCCGATGGCAATTCCCGACTAAGTCGGGAAATTTTTACACCCCTAAGAATGGCTTTTTCTGATAAAATTTTATTTTTGAAGGGAAAAAATAAAGAGAAAAAATAAAAAAAGGGAAAATAAAATATTTAATTTTTTTCCCTGACAACTATTGTTGAGAGGTGGTCGAGTGGTTAAGTTGAGTGCCTAAGTTACTTTGATTGGTCTAGGTTCGAATCCGGGTTTGGAGTATTTTATTTAAATAATTTTTCCATCCAAAAATAAATGGTTTTTAACATTTATTTTGATATTAAAATTTTACAATTATTTTTTTCTATATTATAAACGTCAAAAAACTGTAGAAAAATTAATTTTGTCATGAATTTTCAAAAATTTTCGCCTGCGACGCAGAAAATCGAAGAAATCATTACAAATTTTTCTAAATTTTGCTTGCAGCGCAGAAAATAAAGAATATCAGAGCTCTTAGCCTTGCAAAATTCTCAAAATTTTCGCCTGCGGCGCTGAAAAATGAAGAAATATGCCTTCTTGGCCATCCAAAATTCTCAAAATTTTTGCCTGCGGCGCTGAGAGATTAAAAATTTGTCTTCTTGGTCTTCCAAATTTAAAAAATTTTCGCCTGCGGCGCAGAAAAAGGATGAATCTAGCTCCTTGTCTTTCCAATTCTCAAAATTTTCGCCCCCGGCGTTGAAAATGGAAGAAATTTTACAGCTTGGCCTTCAAAAATTCTCAAAAATTTCGCCTGCGGCGCTAATAAGGAAGATGTCTGGCCTCTTGACCTTCCAAAATTCTCATAATTTTCCCTTGCAATGCAAAAAACCGGAATTTTTGGCGCCGAAGGCGCCAAAAATTTTTTTATTGTAAATTCCCGACTCCCGATCCCGACTCCCGAGGTCATTTCCCGACCCGACTCCCGTTTCCCGATTCCCGAGTTTTTTCTTCTCCCGAACATCACTAGTACAGACCCTTTTTTCCTCCCCAATTTTCCCCATATATTTTTACAAAATGGTCAGACTTTTTCCTTTATTCCATCCAATTTGCCTTTCTAATTTTTGACTACAATCAAACGTAAAGGATTAATTAATTTTATACAAGTGCAAATACATGTAAAAAACAATTATTATAAAAGGAGGATTATTTTTTGGTATTTAACAAGTATGAATTTTGAGAAGACTCAGCAAAAATTAAAAAGGCAAATTGGGTGGAAGGAAAAAGTCTAACATTTTGTAAAAATATATGGCAAAATTGGGAAGGAAAAAAGGGGTCTGTACGCTTCATTATTACTAACCAACGAATTCGAATTTTAATTTCTAGTTTATAAATTTTGTCGAAGTTACCTTTATGTGTTTTTATGGATTTAAAAAATTTAAGGTCAAGGAAATGTCTGTTTAGCTAAGACAATCACATCTTATCGATTTAAACCAAGAGAATTGGCCATTGGTAACTGTTCGACGACGTTAAAAGACTCAGCCATAGCAGCTGAAATGTATATACGGAAAAATCAGAGTGCATTGAAATTAACACTCGAAGTTGATATGCACCTTCTGGTTCATTTATTTCCTGTAAGAAATTTTAATTAATTTTTAAGTTTTAAAATTTTGAGATATTCCTAACTAGACCATACAATTTTCAGGGTTCAACATTAACGTCAGACCCGGGGTTAGTGATTTAACGATACCAATTTTTCTTTATAATTTTTTTAAAAATTATCATAAGTATTTTTCCTGAGAACTTTAAATAAAAATATGTAAAAAATTTATAGCTGAGAATATTCCCTAAAAATTTGTTTATATTGTAGATTTTTTTAATTTTATTTAATTTAACATTAAATTAAATATAATTTTAAGTCTGAAATGCCAAAATCCGGCTTTAGCGCAGGCTGCGCTATAGCCACATCCATGATCTCGGCTATAAAAAATATTGGCGTACCAAATGGTATAATTTTATTACATCTCCTCCTAATTTATATTACTCTATATTTTTTAACAACCTCGAATTTAGCTAACCCCAAAATTTTAGACATCAATTTATTTAAATTTAATTGGCTTTTAGATGAGAGGGGCTGCCTAATTTTTAAGCCCCAAGTTGTAATTAAACTTGTGAATGTATACTAGGGTAAACACAGACTTACATTAAAATATATTTTGGAGCCGACTTGGGTAACCTTTTAGGACATCCTTTTAGATAAGTAGGGTTTACAATAGGATTTAAATTCTTCGGTTCAAAACCCTAGGGTAATTCGTCTCTTTATATTAAACTTGTGAAATATTTGTATTAAGGATATTCCTTTTTGGGAGAGATTGGTGAACGAGGCGAGGTATTATGGGTTGGTGGGGCGGAGGCAAAGATTAAAGCTGCAATACGTCATCAAATCTCTAATATTTTTCTCCCACCATCGATGCAAAATGATATCGAGCGTATAGACGAAGAGATAAAAAAACAAATCAACTTTATCTACATTACAAATTACATCGAGGCATTTAAAATTTTATTTCCAGAGAATCTTCCGGAAAATTAAATTGAAAATTATTTTTGAAAAATTTTGTTTAAATGATTTTTTTATTTTTATCGAAATTAATTTTAAGAAATTTTTTGACTAACAGAAATATTTAAAAAAACAAAATTGGGTCTACAAATTGGGGCTAACTCAATCCTTTAAAATAAGAATGGAAAGGATTTTTTATATACCAGTAGTTAACCCGACCCCCGAGTCGCCTGTCAAAAAGTAAACAGTTAATCAATCAAAATTAAAAGGGGAAGTCATTTCCCTCCCGGACCCTTCCCCGCCAACCAAAAGGTTTTGAGGCTTTTCCTCCCCACCCACCCCTCTCTAATAAAAACCCCCATCCAGCCCTCCCAACCAAAAGCTGTTGAAGCTTTTCCTTCTTTCTCCTTCCTCCACCCACCTCACTAACCAAAACCTATAGGGCTTTTCTTTTGTTTTCCTCAAACCTAAACATTTTGATATCTCCCAAATTATGCAAATGTCCCGTCTTCCCTCACCCGAAAAATTATGCAATACTTTCCTTTTGTAAAAATTTAAAGAATTTCCTTTAAAAAGGAAGAATAAAAGCTGTAAATAAAAAATTACTGTATTAAGAGGGAAAAATGACAAAATGAAAATAAATTAATGGAATTAAAAAGAATAAAATACTAAAAATAAAAAATAATTATAATTAAATATAAATAGGGTAAAATTAATGGAAATATTGATAAAAATAAAATTAATATAAATTAAAAAATAAATTATAAAGTTATACAAAAACATCTTCGTCGCGTCGTCTTTCAACCAAAAAAAAAACTAATATGCAACATTTTTATCTTTTCATTTGCAATAATTTCTAAAATTTAAAGCCCTTTCATTCCTATTCAAATATGCAAATTCCTTAAAATTTAAAGCTTTCCCTAAAAATTTTTACATATTACACCATTCGCTTGTCTCTTTCTTTTGCTATTCTTCCTTTTCAAATCCCAAGAGACTTAAAGGAGAAAATAAAAGGAAACAAAGTTTAAGTATTACGAAATTCACTCACTCTCTTTATTGTTTGAAATTCTTTTGCTTTTTCTCTATGCAAATTTAGCTTCCCTCTCCGACTGGAAATATAATGAAATGGAATTTCAGTAAAATTCCTATTTTACAACACATCAATTATTCTAGAGAATATTTTCATTAAAAGAGGATTTTATATTTCATACTCATTCTTGAAAAATTTAGAAAATAGTAATTTATTTATTGCACCTCTATTCGTATTTTATTTTATTACAATGTCTCCCCCACCTTCGAAGAAAGCACGACATTTCTTTATTGATAATCTATTACAAAAAGGTGCTGGTGATTATGTAAAACAACTTGGTGAGGAAACTAAACTTACCAAGAAGTTCAACATGACCAAGCTGACTACAAGATTCTTAATTAATAAATTACCCCCTAACCCTGAAACCTTACTCCAGGAAATATTCCAAACATGTATGGATAAAACAATATCTACAAGCCGTGAACACCATCTTGAGCCCGATCAACTCGGGTGTATTGTGAGCAGTCAGTTGCTTGAAACTGACATTTGGATCCCTATTAGGGGGATCACTAACAACACCATCGACGCTATACTTAATCAATTCCTCAAAGTGGCCCAGTCTAAGAAGCAGGATAATGGAATGCTTTGGGGCGAACCCTTCACCGTCTCCGTTACTACCATAGATAAGAAGAATCTCCCTACGACAAGGATGATCATTGGTAGTGGTGGTAAATCTTCTCGTCGGATCAACGACAAAGCCTTGATCAAAATTCGTAATTCCGACAACCTCTGCTTATTCTATGCATTGATGGCTTCATATATTTATTCAATATGTTCCTGGTCGAAACAAAAATTCTATGACTATATACACAACAGAAAAGGTACTCGTCAACTCAAGTCTGATACCAAGAATCTTATGATAAATGTGGGAGCACCTGTTGACATGTCTACTTATGATGCAATGGAATGGGTGCCCAAAGTGGTTAATTTTTGGAATTCAAGGAACGGCGACCTGCTTAAAGTTTTTATTTTCGGGGAATTGGATGAGAAGCCTATTTTTAAATATGGGGCTGAAAATTACAATACCCCTATTTTACTTTATTACAACAATAATCATTTTGATGGGGTTAGAAGGGCATCTGATCTATTTGGGGAAGCTTATTGCCTATCATGTGAAAAGATCTATCATCGTCAGAGCGACCATTCTACATCCTGCTTAGCAAAATGTCAAAATTGCTCCAGGATTGGACCAGGCTTTCCGTGTCAACCTTCGAATAACTACTCCAACCATTGCTCCGGATGCTCTAAGGAATTTAATAATGAAGACTGCTACACCCATCATCTCAAATCTAACTTTTGCAACAACTCCAAAAAGTGCGAGAAATGTGGTGTGGTTTGGATTGTAAAAGACAACAACCGGAACGGTCGCAGTGGACATGTGTGTTCAGAACGGTATTGCAACACATGTTTCAGCTTCCACGATCCAAAAAGAGGATGTTTCATTAAACCTCTTACTCCACGGAAGCCCAAACCGTACCGGATCATCGCCTTTGACTTCGAAACCATGCAACATAAACAAGGCGAAAAAGGGAAACTACATGAGGTGAATTTTATTTCTGCAAAAATCAATTGTCCCGAGTGTATTACTAATTGTTCGGACAATTGCAAGGTTTGTGGTGAGGATCGGTCTATAACCTTCTCCCATCAACCTTTCTCTAATACATCAGTGGATCAACTGAACGTTACAAATGATCCTCTGACTGATTTTGTGGCTTGGATTACAAACTTTTCTACAGACACAGTAGCCTTCTCTCATTTTGGAGGAAGGTTTGATATGGTTCTAGTCTTCAAAGCATTGTATCTCCAGGGACTGACTCCAGATATGATCAAGAATGGGAATAAAATGTATGAAATGAAGGTGAAAAATGATAAGAAATGTTGGGTCATCTTCCACGACACATATAATTTAATGCCTATGCCCTTGGCTTCTCTGGTACCGGCATTTGCTCTTCAAGTGGAAGACAAACCCTTCTTCCCTCATCTTGCCAACAATCCGAGCAATTATGGGAAAGAAATCTTCCCAACAATGGAAGATTACCTAGCTAATGGTATGATGCCTGAAAAGAGGGTTCAATTCGATAAATGGTTTGACCAACACAAAGAAGAACCCTTCAATTTAAATGAACAACTAGCAGCCTATTGTACAAACGATGTTGAAATCCTCATGGCTGCACTCATTGCCTTCAGAAAAGAATTTTTGGGTGTCTCCAATGGACTTGATGTTCTTCGCGAGTCCATGACAATTGCTTCTGCCTGCATGAAGCATTTCAGGATGAATCATCTCAAGTCAAATCATGTTGGGATTGTCCCGGAAAGAGGGTACGACAACGCGGACAATCAAAGTAAACTTGCCCTCAAGTTCCTCAAATGGTATGCTGAGAAAAATAATGTAGAAGTGAGGAATGCCCACTCGAAAAATGGAGAGAAAAAGATGGGCAACTATAAATTAGATGGATGGGTTGAGGAAAAGAAATTGGCTATTGAAGTCAATGGTTGCTGCTGGCATGGATGCAGCAAATGCTATCCTGACGACGACCTTAAGCTTCCAACAGGTCTCACAGCTGGTCAACAAAGACAAAAAGACAACCAGCGTATAAATTTTATAAAGAATTTGGGAGTGAATGTGGAAGTATATTGGGAGTGTCAAATCATGGATATGGTAGCAAAAGATTATGAAATGAGAAAGATGTTTAAAAAATACCTGGATGATGGACCAATAAATATTAGAGAGGCCTTCTATGGTGGAAGGACTGGTCCTCTCAAACTCTTCCACAAGGCTGAGCCGGGTCAGAAAATCTCCTACTACGACGTGACTTCCCTCTACCCGTTTATTAATGTTTCAACAAGGTACCCAGTTGGACACCCTGAAGTCCACGTCATCAACAAAGATGTCAACTGGACTAAGCCTGAAGACAACAAATACAATCTTGCTCTTCTCAAACTTTTCATCATCCCACCACGAAATATTGATGTTCCAGTCCTACCTATGAAAATTGGGGAAGATGATGACGAAAGATTGCTATTTCCCCTATGTTCTACTTGTGCAAAAGAGCACCCTAAAGGAGATGTCGACGAAAATTATTGCTGCCCTCACACAGACCAACAAAGAGGGTGGGTTAGCACCTGCACATCTATTGAACTAAATGAGGCCCTCAAAGAGGGGTATGTGGTCACCAAATTATTTAGGGTGCTGGAATTTAACCAATTTGACGACACGCTCTTCAGACCCTACATTAGTGAATTTATGGCTCAAAAAATTCACTCATCAGGCTTTGACAACACCATCAAAGGGGACAAGTTGAAGGAGATAAGTTTATGAAGGAATGTTTCGAAATGTTTGGGATTAACATCGAAAGGGAGAAGATGGCAGCCAATAAGGGGAAGAGGACGCAAGCGAAATTGTGTTTAAACAACTTATGGGGTCGATTTTCACTCCGTAATTTTGGTCTTTCTCAGTGCAAAATTACAGACGACCCAAGTGAATACGTGAAAATGTGTGATGACCCAGCAATAACAGTTAATCATTGTCATGAATTGAC